TCAAATAACTCTTTAGACTTTGTAATCATTTAATATATTTATTAGATTTTAATACTCGAGTACTTTTGGCCATCACTCGCTTTATTGTTATAATTCATGTGTTTTTCAGTTATTTAATGAGTCATTCATTCATTCATTTAACAAAACTTTATTTAACATAAAGAAGACATCAATTGATTACAAGAAGTGATTGAAAATACAATAAATAAATCAGTTATTAGTGCTGTTATTGAGTCCATTGGAAGGGCTGTCATCGGTGGCGGCGGACGACGAGTGCAGACATTGCATCTTCAGCTGCGACTCAGCGATGTCTTGGAGTGCACTCTGGATCTGTTCGAGCAGTTCTTCGCCCCGTTTCACAGTCTCTCCCAAACGTTGCGCCGAATCGTTGTTCTCCTGCTCTAATCGTCTCAAAGCCGCAGACTTTTGGACACAAGACATGATATATGAATCAAATCATCGCTAAATCTCTTCAGTTTATGTCTAAATATCAAACTCATGAGTAATACCTGTAATTCCGGTGTTGACTCTTCACTGGGAAGTGAGTCGATGAGGACATCGATGTCTTTAGCAGTTCTGGCGATTAGTGTCGAAAACAATTGCGCGAAATCTGTGAACCAGTCAATGGATTAGAAGATGACAAACAATTACCACAAACACAGCCATTGAGACAAACCTTCGGAAGACTGTGTCTGAGTTGTGGGCGATTTGGAGGAAGTTTTGTCGAATTCGGGGAAAAACGTCGGTTTCGCGAACTGCTGAAGAACTCCGATACTGTTGCAGAAGTTCTCCGATTGCTGTTGTCGTCCATGGGATCAGTTGTGGTGACAATCGATAGTTGATTACCGAAAGAGCAAAAACTCAATCAATTTATCTCAAGATATGATCCAATGGTATACAGACCTGATTGACGGCGTCCTGCAGTTGTGTCAGTCTGTCGGCCATTCTTCCGGAGTTGAGTCGCACTTCAATTCAGACAATCATTGGATGTCTTCAGTGTTGACCACAACTCAGAAGTGATTCAATTGTTTACAAACACTTTGTTGACTCAAACATAGGAGTCATTCACAAACAAAAT